AGATAGCAGGGAGGGAGAGAGGAAATGTAACAAGCGTGAATGCAAAACACGGGGCTGGGAGATTATATATAAGTTTTAAAATCGTGGTTGTGAACCACGATTCACTTAATGAAAAAAAAATTTGCCAAAAAATGTGGTTTAGAAAAGCGATTTCAGAACAAATTTTTTTTTTTGATAAAATCGTGGTTATAAATAGCGAGTTCAGAACAAAATTTTTTTTTCATAAAAGCGTGGTTTTGAACAGCGAATTCAGAACAAATTTTTTTTTGGATAAAATCGTGGTTTGTAACAGGGAGTTCAGAAGAAAAAAAAAAATTAAAAGCGCGTTTTGTAACCGCGATTTCTTAATCAAAAGCGCTTTTTGTAACCACGATTTTAAGACTTTCCCAATTTCACGCGAGATAGGCGTATATATGTTGAAATCGTGATTGTGAATCACGAGTTAGCTTATTTTGGGAATTCTTTCAAAACTAGGTTTAGTTTGGGAATTGATTTACTATTTTGGCTTATTTAGGGAAATGCCCCCATTATATACCCGTCAATTAGGACATTGGTCTGTTTTTTTTCATGGTGCATAAAACCATTTGGTCACATTTATCTTGAATATTCATAGTAATAGAAAACAAATTATTAAATTGACGTGGTATCGCACAGAAAAAAATTATGTGGAATTAGGGGAATCTTAGTTTTTAAATATGAACTCTTGCTAATTGTATTAAGGCCAAGTTTGGCATGTCCAGGAAAAGCCAAAAAGTTACTCAAAAAGTTAAAAAATTAACATTATTCATCAAAAGTCAACAATTATGGCTGCACAACTCTCAATCCTAATTTCTCTTACAAACCAATTTTTACAATTTTTTATTACACATTTTTCCATAAAAAGTCAAAAAGTTAATCCAAACATCTATATTTTCTTTCTAGAAAACAAATTATTAAATTGACGTGGTATCGCACAGAAAAAAATTATGTGGAATTAGGGGAACCTTAGTTTTTAAATATGAACTCTTGCTAATTGTATTAAGACCAAGTTTGGCATGTCCAGGAAAAGCCAAAAAGTTACTCAAAAAGTTAAAAAGTTAACATTATTCATCAAAAGTCAACAATTATGGCTGCATAACTCTCAATCCTAATTTTCTCCTACAAACCAATTTTTACAATTTTTTTTTACACATTTTTCCATGAAAAGTCAAAAAGTTAATCCAAACATCTATATTTTCTTCCTCAATTTTTTAGTTCAAAAAGACAAAAAGTGCACTTATTTAGGACACCCTTGTGTTAGAATTAACATGATTATTAGGTCAGGTTAGTGTCAAGATAATTGACACATTTAATTAAATAGGCCGTGTTAGTGTTGGATTGTTTTGAACACGAATCTGATATGATATGACACGACACGACACGACATGATACGATACGATTTTCACCCCAAGAGCGTTGGTGGTGGAGAATTTCAACAGATAAAAAATTAAGTTTGTGAATTTCAATAGATAGGAAAAATAGGCCTTTAAATGAGTTTAACGGATAAAAAATTGAACAGAGGGTAAAATTAGAAACAAAATATGCTCCAAAATAACAAAATATAATTCTCTCACCATAATATTTTACAAAGAGTCTATTTATCCAAAAAAAAAAAAAAAAACTCATGAGATCTATTACCTTATACCTTCATTAAATTAGATTTATCACCAACTTTTTTAAAAAAAATTATAATTTAATTTGATAAAATAAAAAAAATTACTTTATTATGGAACTCAAATCCTCAGATTTTTTTTATATAAAATTGTCCCAAAAAACACAACACCTAACGTGCTGTTTGTTTAGCTGCTTCAGCAGCTGGATTGGAGTAGGATGACTGTGGGTCCCACCCACAACACATTTGGTGTTGATTTGGGATGTCGGCTTGCTAGTGTGAGCGGCTTAGTAATCCTCCTCATTAGGGCGATTAGCTTGGCTGAGAAAAGCGTGGGATCAGGAAAATAGTGAGTGGATTGGTCCTACCCGGTCGTTCACTTGGACATCCTCTCGGTCGTCCGGCCGGTTGACCTGAATAGTACTTTTTCTGAATAGTACTTTTTTTTTTTTGCAGTTATAACCTGTTATTTAAAAATATATATATATATATATTTGTTTTAGATATTTTTTAATATAAAAATTATTATTTTTAGATTTAAAAAAAATAATAATTTAACAATCCCATCACTAACTATCTTCAATACTATTATCAAAATAAACACATTTTTATCTAATCCCCTCACTAACAATCCACATATTAATAATTTGTTCACTAATCATCCCCTCACTAACAATCTCATCTACCTTAATTCGTCAAACCAACGTAGCCTCAAAAAACATAGTTATTTTGAAAAATACACACACCCATCAATCTCAGGAGAGAGAGAGAGAGAGAGAGAGAGACCCAGGTGGGTTTGGGGGCAAAGCCGGAGAGAGAGAAGAGAGATAGAAAAAAGGCGAGAAAAAGAAGAAAAAGCTAAAACTAATCTTAGTTTGTTTCACTTTTGAGAGAGAGAGAGAGAGCGCAACCCGAGTGGGTTTGGGGGCCAAGCCGTAGAGAGAGAAGAGAGACAGAAAAAAGGCAAGAAAAAATAAAAAACTATAATCTTAGTTCGTTTCACTTTTGACGTGGTAGCTTCACAACAAAAGGAGTACAGATTACATACATATTATCAGGTGGTAGGGTTTGAAAGACGAACTGAAAACGAAAACCAAAATGGTTTGATTCTGAATACCATTCTACATTGTCTCCATGTTTCTCTTTCTCTACATTTTTGTTTCATCGTTTTGTGCTAGCTTCCCCTCTCTCTCTCTCTCTCTCTCTATGTGTGTGTATATATATATATCTACACACAATGTTGTTTTGTTCAGTTCTAGCAGTGAGTATGCTGAGTTTATGGATTCTGTGCTTCATATATCTATACCTATACTATTATTAAAAGTGAACAGCTAGTTTAGTATATTAAAAGTGAATACTCACTTGGTGTCCAAAATTTGGTGACTTCTCCTTATCCACATGTCCTCATTTTTCTATTTGAAATATCAAAAAACAAAAAAAAAAAGATAGTGTACGAGCACGCAATAATCTTCCTCGTATAATCCTGTTGATCAAGCTTTCGCTCCTTCAAGCATCGTCGTCTTATCACCTGAAAATACAAACGTGAGCTAGTCGGTAGGTGTTTATCGGAAACCCCTCCAATGCCTAAGTTAGCAAGTCGGCAAACGACACAAAAGTTCTGTGTATTCGAGAGTATGAATTGCAGTACCTGAGAATAGGTCCTGTCACAAGTTTTGTAGATTCCGTATGACACAATCCTAGTGGGACTTAACTCTTCTTAGCAGAATCCTTCTAGGGATCACTTTCCCAAAGGATAATGCTTATCCTTGGAACATCCTCCTCACTACAAGTCAAGTGACATGGCAAAATACTCTGCTCGGCCATCGATGACTAACCGAGCTACCTTTATTCTGTTCTGCCTCTGGCCGAACCGTGCAACTCTTGTCTGCCAAATGGTGCACCGCCGAGCTACAATTAGCTCGTTCTTCCCCTAGACAATCAATCTGGTACCTCGGTCAGTCTATCAATTGTACATAGATAGCTAGGTCCAAGCCTTAGCAATCCATCATTGACCGGCCTATTACAAGTTCAACCTAACACTAAGCTATCTAGGCTCCTGTCTCGGCCCATTGTGTGGCCCAATCTCCAAAGAGGATTTCACCTTGCTCGGTCCATTTTGTCTACACAAATTACCCTCTCAGGTAGTTAAACTCGAACCTTAAACCTTTTTGAATTAATAAACAAGACTCTTACTTGCATGACATACCAAAAGTTTGGTTTTATTTTTACTTATTTTAATTGCATACGTATCGCGTATGCCAACCGCTAGTGTGTGTATATATATGTGTATATATGTTGTTATTGATATGTAGACCGCTAGTGTGTATAGATATATATGTATATGTGTATATATGTTATTCGTATGTAGACGATAATCAATTTGAGGAACATTTTCTATGTTGGGTGAAGCATGGGTGCGGGTACGAGTGCGTGTACGCCGATTTGGCAAAACTCAAAAAAAGTATGATACGGGTACAGCTACGGTACGCCGATATGTGTATATATATATTATATAATTATGGTTAAAGGATCCAACCTACAAATTAAAATTAAATATCAAAACTAAAAAGAGAACTACTCATTTTCTTATAATTTAAAACCATTAAGCGTTAAAAATAATATTTGTGAAATCTCTCACTACATGTTATGCACTGTGAATTTGCGATCATAGTTTATTTTTAAAATCTTTCCTTTTGCTCATCAATTTGCTATTTTTATAGGGTGAGACCAAAGAAATAACAGAAGACTAAAGAAAGATTTAAAGTTAATTGCTAACAGTAAAGGATAAAAAATTCTCAATTGAGGCAGGTTGTCAATTGCAGTTTGCATAATACATAAAATTGTATCATTCCCAACCACTACTAATCAACTAATACCGTATCAATTTTTAATGTTTTGTGCATAAACTTTAAAAGTTTGTTATGATTAAAGATTTTATAAAGAAATTCTAGGAGGATCTGAAGCAAAAGCATAATACATAGTCATACACAGAACTGCCCTTTATAGGCCTTGTTATTTTTTTTTGTTCAAATTGCTTTTTAAAGACATCAAAATCATTTGCTGATATGCTTATACAATTCATACAAATAGGTAGGATAGCAGAGAAACATCAAAATTGCTAATCTGCAAAAAGACAAAAAAAGAGGCTGATCTGCAAGGGCACAAAAAAAAAAAAAAAGGCCCCAGTGTACCCACGCCATACCCGAATGAACCAAAAATACCAGACCCCCTTTTGCTGTACTCGGTACGCGTGCAGTCGTACCGGTACACGTACCCGCACCCGGTAAGTACCTGATACTCGTACGACACTATTTTTGGAGTACCCGTGCTTCATAGCTGATATGCTTATACAATTCATACAAATAGACAGGCTAGCAGAGAAACATCAAAATTGCTGATCTGCAAGGGCACCAAAAAAACAAAAAAAAAGGCTGGTCTGCAAGGGCACAAAGAAAAAAAAAAAAAAAGGCCCCGGCGTACCTACGCCGTACCCGAATGAACCAAACGTACCGGATCCCCTTTTGCCGTACCCGATATGTGTGCAGCCGTACTGGTACGCGTACCTGCACCTGCACCTGCACCCGTACCCAGTAAGTACCCGGTACTTGTACGACACTATTTTTGGAGTACCCGTGCTTCATAGGTAACACAACAATGTTCACAAACAATTTAACTACATTACTATGTAATCCAATTATTTTTTTGTTTTTTTCATACAGTAACACTGTTTGGAAAAGGAATAGAGAAAGGAGTGAAGAAGCTAAATTCTTTTCTTTTGTTGATAGGGTTAGGAATAATAAGAAAAAGATGGATGGGTGTTGTGAGAATATTCGGTTAGGTTTATATATATGGTAGTATATATTGTGTATATATGGTAGTACTTTCCTTTCCTTTTTAGTCTTAGGGTTAGGATTGCTATGGGTGTGTTTGTTTTGATTTTGAGAGAAATTTTCAAAAAAATTTTTGAGGAAAGAGATTAGAATTTTTTTTGATTTGTTTGGTTGTATATTTTGGAAATAATTTTGGAGTATGGGAGTTTGAGATGATTTGATATTTTGTTGTAGTTGAGTAGATGTGTGAGAGAAAAAAGTGATTGAAAAGGAGAAATGATGGTTAAAAAGTGATTGATAAGGAGAGAGAAGATAGTGATTTTAGAATTTTTTTTCCAAAATTACTAAACTGAACAAAATTTTAAAAAATTTTCTCAAAAACAAACCAAACAAGGCCTATATAATAAGATGTATTCTTTGTATTATTGCACAATTTGAAAATACAGAAAACATTCAGAAAACCTACATGGTATCAAGGCTACACGATTGTTGATCTTGTGGTGGCTAGGGTTTTGCACAAACTGATTCTTTCTCTGGTTCGTCTGGTTTGATCAAATCTTGTTCGAAGTTTCCTTTGTTTGAAGCTTTATCTGGTTCGTAGCCTTCCCTTTGTTTGGTGACTGGTTTTTCTTTCTGACTGGGTCTCTCGCACGATTGGTTCTCTCTCGTCGTTGATTCTTGGTTCTCTGGTTCGTGAAGAACTTTTGGTTCTCTAAAGTCGTCTTTTGAACAGTAATTGCGAGTCAACCAACCCAAAAACTGTGACCTATCTAGTTCGTGGCTTATCTCCTCTACTTCGCATCTCAGTCTTTACTTATCTTTTCTATTCGCGACCCTTCGATTGGTGCGTGCGACATAGTTTAAGAGCTCTTTCTGGTTGAAGAGTTGTGCAAGGATTCTCTCTCTCTCTCTCTCTCTCTCTCTCTTGCCCGTGCGCGCTTCGATTCGCGAGGTCGCCAGGTCGATCTCTCTATCTGTGCCTCTGTTCATGACTCCTAGTTCTCTCGTAAGTTCGATCTCTCCATCTATGGTCATCTGGGTATTAGTGATCATCTGGTTCTGATGTATTACAGTTTGACCCCTCAAATTTTTGGTTATTACACTTGCACCCTTGGTTCAACTATTTTGCTTTATTTTGGGTTTATTATAGATGACTCCCTCAATGTTTTGGTTACTATGATGTCTCTGGCTTTAGATGAATGTGCCTTCTGCCATCAGAGGGGTCATTGGAAGTATTACTGTCCTAAGAAGGGACGTTTGCCTGCCTCGTCTTCTCAGCATTCTTAGACCTAATTTTGCCCTTCTCCTCCGAGTAATTTTTGGGCTCCCACCGCTTATGCTGCATCCGTTCCGGTTCTTGATCCTGACTTGGCTTTCTTGAGTGCTCAGATTGCTCAGCTTCAGCATATCCTATCTACCTTAAGCCCTCACAGTCTGTTTCCATTGTTTCCTCTCTTCATTCAGGTTTGCTTGGGTCTTTTTCAGGTATCTCTTCGTTTGTTTAGATTTTTGACTCCGGTGCCTCTCATCATATGACTCCCCATCTTTCCTTACTTCAGAATTGTACTCCCCATCCTTTTCCTGTTATTGTTAATGCTGCTAATGGGTCTAGCATGCCTGTTATATTTGTTGGGTCTGTCATGCTATCTACTATGTCAACTGTCTCTATTCCATCTGTTCTTTATGTTCCTCAATTATCTGTCAGTTTATTATCTATCAGCCGCTTGATGACTCCGGTTTTGATGTTATTTTTTCTTCTTCTATCTGTTCTCTGCAAGATCGGATGTCCAAGCAACAGGTTGGGATTGGCCGTAGAGTTGGAGACTTCTATGTGGTGGAGAGCTTGCATCTGCCTATAACAACCTCTCCGACTGCCTTTTCCTCTTTTCAGTTAGATTCTCTATCCAGTCTTTTCTACTTGTGGCATTCTAGATTAGGACATTTGTCTGCTGACCGCTTACGATCTTTAGCTCAATCAAGTATATTAGGTAAAGTTTCTCCTAGTGAACTTACTGAATGTTAGGGGTTTAAACTTGCCAAAATGACAGCCTTACCTTTTCGTAAAAGTACTTCTATATCTGATACACTGTTTTCTTTAGTTCATACTGATGTTTAGGGCCCTTCTCCTATTCTCACCAAAGGGGTTTCCGCATACTATGTGTCATTTGTTGATGACTGCACCCATTACGCTTGGGTTTATCTTATGACTCATAAATCTGATTTCTATCATATATACCGTACCTTTCAGTCTATGATTACTACTCAGTTTGGGTCTACAATTAAAGTTTTACTGTCTGACTTGGGTGGAGAATATTTAAAAAATGAGTTCTGTGAGTATTTGGTCAATTTGGGTACCATTCACCAAACTTCTTTTGCTGAAACACCCACCAAAATGGTCGAGCCAAGCGTAAACACTGTCATCTCCTTGAGACAGCTAGGTTTCTTCTTCTCTCTGCCTCAGTTCCAGCTCTGTTTTGGGGGGAGGCAGTTCTTGCTGTTACTTTTCTTCTCAACTGCATGCCTACTTCACTTCTTTCTGGCCGGTCTCCTTATGAGCCTTTGTTCTCCCAAATTCCTAATTACTCTCTCCTTTGTGTGTTTGGGTCTGCCTGTTTTGTTCTTTTTTCCCGCGAAGATTGGACCAAACTTAGTGTCCGGTCTGTCCTATGTCTTTTTGGGTTATAGTCCTACTCAGAAAGGCTATCGGTGTTATGACCCTATTTCCCGTCGTCTTTATGTCTCCTGCCATGTTTATTTTCTAGAACGCCTGCCTTACTTTCAACTTCCTCCTATCACTGTTCCGGTTTCCAAAGAGGATTTGGTTCACATTGATCCATTTCCTTCTGAGATCCCTCCTAATGAGTACATCTTTACTGTTCCTCATGAACTTGTTCCCTCTTCTCCTTCTACCACCCCTCCTGCTAAGTCTTTCTCTATTGAAGCCTAGGACTCTGTTCTCTCTTCTCCTTCTCCTCCCCAGCTTGCTCCTTCTCCTCCTTCGTTGTTAGTTTATTTTCGATGCAAGGCTCTCCCTCCACCGGTTGTCTCTACCCCTACTGCTGATTCTCCTGTTTCTGACGACTCTGATCTTGCTAATCGTAAATATCCCCTTCGCATCCGTAAACAGGTCGAAAAATTTGGTTTTGCTAAAGCATGCTTTTGTCCTTCATCTTTTACGTTTTTGTCTACTATTCACTCTTTTTCAGAACTTCAGTCTTGCAAGGATGCCTGTTAGGATCTTCATTGGATTCAAGCTATGGAGGATGAGTTGTCTGCTTTACAGAAAGCTAGTACTTGGGAGTTGGTTCCTTTGCCTGTTGGTAAGAATTTGGTTGGTTGTAAATGGGTTTACAAAGTCAAGACTCATTCTGATGGTTATCTTGAGCGCTACAAAACTCATTTGGTTGTCAAAGGTTTCTTAAAGGAGTATGGTATTGATTATGAGAAGACCTTTGCTTCTGTTGCCAAGATGACTATTGTCGCTGCTGTTCGTTTTTGGCCTTTTTATCAGATGGATGTTAAGAATGCTTTTCTTAATAGCCATCGCACTAAGAAGTTTTACATGCGTTCTCCCCTTGGCCTTCACCACTTCTTTGGACAGGTTTGTCGCCTTCGGCGTGCTCTGTATAGTCTAAAGCAGTCTCCTCGTGCTTGGTATGATCGCTTTCAGACTACTGTTACTGAGCTTGCGTTTCATTCTTGTGTCCAGGACTCTACTTTGTTTTTTCTCCACACCTCTGTTGGATTTGTTGCTTTATTACTGTATGTGGATAATATGATCATCACTGGCTTTGACTCTTCTGCTATCTTTATGGGCAAGCAGCGTCTTTTCCGCATATTTGAAATGAAAGACCTGGACCCATTGCGGTATTTTCTTGGTATTGAGGTAGCTTTTTCTTCCAAAGGTTACTTTCTATCTCAGGCCAAGTATGCCAATGAGGTTATTCATTGTGCCGGCCTTACTAATACTAAAATTTTTGATACCCTTATTGAGCTGAATGTGAAGTTCAGCACTACTGATGGTATTCTTCTAGATGATCTCACTTTATATCGAGAGCTTATGGGTTGCTTAATCTAACTGACGGCTACTCGTCCTGATCTTGCCTATGTTGTTTATGTGGTTAGCTAGTTTGTTTCTGCTCCTCGCTCCACACATTGAGCTGTATTGGTTTGGATTTTTCGCTACCTCCGAGGTATTATATTTCAGGGTTTACTTTTGTCTTCTACTTCCTCTTTGGATATGATGGCCTATGCTGATTGTGATTGGGCTGGTGATGTTACTGATTGCAAGTCCATGTTTGGTTTCTGTATATTTCTTGGTGATTCCTTGATCTCTTGGAAAAACAAGAAACAAACTGTTGTTACTCGCTCTACTGCCGAAGTTGAGTACCGTGCTATGGCTCATGCTACTGCTGAGATTGTTTGGCTTTGTTGTCTCTTATCTGATTTGGGTGTCCCTCAATCTTCTTCAACCTCCCTCTACTGTGACAACCGTAGTGCTATTCGGATTGCCCATTGCACTGTCTTCCATGAGCAAACAAAGCACATTGAGATTGATTGCCACTTTGTCCGTCAGCATCTGCAGTCTGGCTCTATCTCGCTTCCTTTCGTCTTTTTGGCTTTGTAACTTATTGACTTCTTTACCAAAACTCAAACCACTGCTCGGTTTCAGTTTCTTTTTGGCAAACTGTCACTGTTTTCTGCTAAAATACCTTGAGTTTGAGCGAGTGTGTGAGAATATTCAATTGGGTTTATATATATTGTGTATATATGGCAGTGTTTTCCTTTCTTTTTTAGTCTTAGGGCTAGGATTATTATATAATCAGATGTATTCTTTGTATTATTACACAATTTAAATATATAGAAAACATTCAGAAAACTTACAGATGTTTGTTGAAAACCCCCCTATTTTTGTTTTGTTACTGAGGGGAATCTTTTAAATTTTTTATTTTTATTTTTTGGGGTTATAAAAGTTCTATTTGATTAACATTCCTTTCAAATTTAATTCCCATTGACTTAAAACATCATTAGTATCAGTGCAGATTATATGCAAATTATGGCATTTGTTCTTAAAGTGTTGCCTACAACTACCATTCAAGGACAGGAGAATCATGCCTCATTACTTCAATGCAGGAGATGCGCTAGAAATATTTCTAGAAAGCAGAGATCAACTATTCCATTGTTGTCAATTGTGTCGCAACACAATGGACTTACAATCTTGGTAATCACACATTAATCTCTTATACCCTTAAACGGATGTCCATTTTCAATTTTTTGTCTCTGACTAAAAAATGTATGCTTGCTCCATATATATGTTTTTACTGTTTTGTAGTCAAAGTGTGTTTAGTGCAATTGAATTGTTAAACCTACTACTTCAATTTATCCAGAAAATCGAGTTCCATTTATCAAATAATATATGTTCATAATAGTGCAGTACAAATGGTATTGCTGCATGCATATTACTTTCACATATGCAAGTACAGATCATCAAAGTACCCATAATGACAATATGATTTTTCTTGTTATGGTTGAGCTAAAGTACGTTATATCTTCTTTTCTTCTAACATGTGAGATTTTAAATGATTTTGAACATTAGAGTCGAGTCATTGTCCCTATCTTTCTTAAATCGGTTTCTAAATTTTAAAATTTTCCCCATATTAAATGAGTTTTAGATCAAATACATATTTTGTGTATCAAATTGATTGAATCAAAAGAATACTACCATGCTACGTGGGATGGTTATGAAAGGAGCAGTTAAGTAGGATGGTGTAGGATAGTAGACCAGGAGCAGGACATTCTATTTTGCCTGCATTTTGGTAACCTTCTATTTGGCCTGCATCTTGGTAAGTGGATGGAGGCTATAGGCAAGGGGCTCCAGTCTCATGTCTCCTAACATTTATTGGCACTGATTTGGATACCATGCAGTGCTTTGGTGCTTAGTCCCAGGAATCCCATAGTAGAGCATTGAGTTTGGTCAGTGAGTGTATATTAATTAGGTTAGAGATGTGTGGAATACCATCTTAATTACATTTGAATTTTTCTTGTAAGCACATTATGGAATACCTTCTTAATTATTAGTCAGTGTCAGTGATCGTGACATACTCGCAGCATACTTGGTAAAGGGTAAACATGTTCTCTCTCTCTCTCTCTCTCTATATATATATATATATATTAAATTTTTCAATGAAGTGAACATCAACAAGGGATCCATCACTTGGGTTGTATCTGGTTTCACTTTCACAAACCACTCTGCCGCTATTTGGCTATGTTAATTTTACTTTAAGCCTTAATGATTACTATGTTGTCCATTAAAATTCACACTCTTGGAAAGGCTGTTAAAAAAATTTCATCAATCTTTTATGCTTGCTATGATAAGGGTGATCATATATGTAGGTTAGGTTGTGTCTTTTTTATGTGGCTGGTTACCATTTTATTTTGTGTAATTGATTCATCTTGTGGTTTTGTGGTTACAATATTCTCATACAGGTGAATGGTTGTACTGGTAAGATGGGGAACGCAGTTATAGAAGCAGTTGCTTCGAAAGGAATTCATCTTGTTCCTATATCGTTTAGCAGAAGTAATGAGTCTGGGAAAATTGTGCAAGCGGGGGGAAAAGAGATTCAGTTGTATGGTCCTTCTGAAAGAGAGAGCATTTTAACATCTGCCTTTGAGGAGTATCCAAACTTGATGGTGGTGGACTACACAGTGCCTGCTTCAGTGAATGGTAAGTGTGAATGGATCTTTAGATGTAAGAAATATTTCAAATTTAGTTTGGAGTACACTTCAATAGCTGGGCTTTGGAGGCTTTACATGGAACCCGCAGCCCTGTCCACCATGACCAAATTTTAGAAATATTAAATGCAATGCATATTTTCCCATGTTATTTTTTGTGATGTTAGAATTATTGAACTTGAAGGTAATTATTGGAGGTAAATATTGGAAAGCTGGGTTAATTTTCCTACATTTGGTAGGGTCTATTTGAGTGTCATTATTGTCTTATCCTCTGCCAATGTATCCAGTTGCTTGCATAATTTTCTTATTCAGGAATAAAGCAGTGATCATGAAATTTCCAATCAGTTTAATGGTTTTGTTATTATCATGCAATCTTCAGATAATGCAGAGTTATATTGTAGAGTTGGGGTGCCCTTTGTAATGGGAACTACTGGTGGAGACACGGAGCAGTTGTATAAGACTGTAGAAGACTCAAAAGTTTATGCTGTGATCTCACCTCAAATGGGAAAACAGGTGATCAGGATTCAGTTGCCATATGCTGGCTTTTATATAATTTAACTTTAACATTGTCAATTTGTCTTTCCTTGTCTTGTTGAAATTTTGATTGGCTGGTCTTGATTAGGTTGTAGCATTTCTTGCATCAATGGAAATTATGGCTGAGCGATTTCCCGGGGCCTTCTCTGGATATTCCCTGGAGGTAACTTCTAAATGTTTCTCTGTTTTTTTGTTTGGTTTTACTTTTCCTTTTCATCTGTATCTAGTGTTGCTTGCTTTTTGCCTTGATATTTCCATATATAATAACTCAATATCCCAAGAGGCATCAGTAATGTGAACGTTACAAATCTTTGTTGTGGTGGCCTGCATGCCAGAAGCTATGAGAGATTTTTTATTTAACTATTTTGGTATGGAGATATGAATATTGAGTCATGGCACTTTTGATAAAATGTTATGAAGAGCACTAATTGTATCAACTTTATAAAGCCTTGATCCAACACTTAGGTTTTTGGGTTACAGTTCAGCCCATTTGTTTAGGTAACTTATGGTTGAGAAGTCAACACTAACTTAATCTATCTAGAAGTCAATACTAACTTTTGCCTTGAATTTATATGCAGATGTTTAGAGTCTTTAGACTGACATCTTGTGTATTTTTCAATCTTGCAGGTGACGGAGTCTCACCAAGCAAGCAAATTGGACACATCTGGAACTGCCAAGGCTATCGTTGCATGCTTTAAAAAGCTGGGAGTCTGCTTTGAATTGGATAAGGTGAGGTAGGGGATAAGCACAGCATCATGGTTTTTAGGAGGCTAGTATCATGGTTTTTAGTAGGGCTAGTATCATGGTTTCTAGTAGGCTTATGCAGCTCAACAACTTTTCCTTTGTTTTCCCACCTTTTTCTTTATTTATTGCTTAGTTATCAGAGCAAACTTTAGCGAATGCATATATTTTTCTTTTTAAAAAAAATTATGTCCTATTATGTCGTTTCATTGCACTACCCTGCTTCTCTTTTTCTAAATTTCTGGCTTATTCGTCAAGATGTTTGGAAATTTTTCAATCAGATACAACGAATCCGCGATCCAAAGCAACAAATGGAGATAATGGGTGTGCCAGAGGAGCATCTGTTTCGTCATGCATTCCATTTGTATCGTCTGACATCACCCGATCAAACGTAAAGTTATTCATTTCTTATTTTATGCTTTCTATTTTTGTATTTTTTACTCGTTTTCAGTCCTGCCTTCCAGCTTATATGGGCATTGAATAGCTTTTGACAAATAAAACATTAAAAACCTACACAACAAATATAAGCAAGTGTACAGATGTGTGCTCAAAAGAAATGAAAGCAATACGCATTAAAGAAAGATAAGGGGAGAGTAGAGAGAAGAGATTCAAACTCCAAGATTTATAGTAGTTTTGGTTTAACCCAATCCCATGTCCACTCCCAAGGCTCCCCCTCTAGTTTCTTCACTATTCTTGAAAATGGTAACAACTAGCAAGCTTTCTGGTTGCTAGATCTTTACACCAAGTGATTTTGTCCCAACATCACTTCAGAACAACGCTATATTTTTCTCTAAAAGACAGCATGAAAGATCTCACTTTCTCCAAGTGTTTCTCCCGAACACTTGAGCAACCAATCCCAAGGGCTCAACAGCCTTTTACAAATAGTGTACAGAAAGGACAAGACTTCTTTAGTACAATAAGCAACAATGAAGCTCAAGAACAAATAATGTAAAAGTTATGGCTCAAATCTGGAAAGATATTAATGAATTTCTCTTTTAATCCTTGATCTCTTCGTTGTAGATGTGTAGAAATCTTCCTTTATAGCCCGTCATCTCTTCTTGACTATTGGAAGTGGTTGGTAGGGGTGTGCGCAGTGCGGTTTTTAAGGGTAAAATAAAAACTGCACAGCGGGTGGCGGATTAACAAAATTGACATTAGAAATTGCCGTGTTGTTTATCAAAAACCGGTGGTTCGATTGGCAAATAATAGCGGTTTTGACTTAATGGTTTGGACGGATTGGCGGTTTATAATAAGCAAGTATACATAAAAATTCAAATACTCAATATTTTAGCCAAAACATTTTTTGCCGGCATAGTTAAGATTTCTCAAACATTTTTTATACTCAAACAATAGTTAACAAATTACACTTTTTTTTTTTATTGAGCAACAGTAGCTAACAGTTTATATACATTCAATAGTAAACAAATTACACATTTTTTTCCCCCCACACACACACATATATATATATATAGAGAGAGAGAGAGATCATAAAGAGATACCACAATATCAAAAAAAACAACTCAATAAGAAACAAAATCTGACTCATAGACAAAGAAGTATTGAGAAGATAGAATAATGAGTTAAATAGAAACGAAGAGGACTTACAATTTCTTCCATTCAAACATGGTATCATGGAAAGCATTGAGAGCAGCCATGGATGAATCCTCTGAGTCAAACTGAACAAACCCAAAACCTTACTCTTCCCATGTTCCGTAGCCACCTTGCAAGAAAGTTAGTTCCAAATTGCAGAAAACTCCCCACAAGCGAGCACTAGTAACAGAAAGGTCAAGGTTAGCAGCGGCACCAATCGGAGGAGCAAGAGGGAAGACAAAACAATCTGATGAATGAGATGAGTTGGAGTACCAACCATGGATATGTGTGAGGCAAGTTGATTGGCGGTGATTGGAGACGGAGGCGAGTCGATCGGCGACAAAGGCGAAAGGGGCGAGATGGAGAGGCACTTGAAACCCTAGAAAGAAATTGACCATCTCTCTCTCTCTTCCAAAGGAGTGTCATGAGCCTTTTATATACATAGGCGGTGCTGGTTAGTTTGGTCGGCGGGTTAGAGTTTTGAAACCGCCACCCGCACCGCCCGCCAAACCTAGAGCCTTCACCTGCCCAACTCACAGAATTGAAAAAATGCGCGGTTCGGCTCGAATCAGTGCGGATTTGGTGGGTTCGGTGGTATTGTGCATAGCCCTAGAGGTTGGAGTGCATTTAATGCAAAAAAGAGCGATTGAAAAAGTTGTTCTATGCTGTCAGGGTTGAAATTTTCCAACTACAGTGTTGAAACTGAATAGAAAAGGATCAACACCTTCCTCTTCCTGTACAAATCCAGCACTCCTTGGAAAACATTGTCAACACTTGTCCAAAAGGGGTCTACACCTTTGCTGGCCAAAATATTCTCTGATGAAAGGGAGCGACATCAAGCAGCATGGGGTTGATTCTAAACATTCCAACTTTCAAAATTCAGCCTGTAGGTGTTTCAGAACATGTTCAAACACAAATTCAACTTCAAATAAGGTTATAAATGAATCGTGTAAGCATTAACTCATCATTACTCATCATTAAACAAGTTCATTCTCGGATCATTTGAATCTACATCAAATATAAAACATGACTATGCACAAGAACTCAATTTTTTAATTCAAATACTTGAGATATAAAAATAAGAACTGTTGTATCTTTTAAGCACAAAATGATATCATACTTGGAGTTCTTCATGCTTTACCTCTTGAGAGCAGAAGATACATAATTTTTAGCACAAAAGCTCTCTTTCATTTTTTGTGACATAGTCTATACATATCAATGTAAAAGTTCTGTATCACTCTAAAATAAGTTAGATAAAGATCATTTAAGCACAAAACAAATATCAAATAATTGGTGTTTGAAGTTTTTGAATCCGAATCATTAGAGAATGAAAACTATAAAACATTTTAAAGCTCAAGCTCTCTTTTTCAAATAATTGTGGATTACTTTTGAAAACATCTATTAATCCTATGTATCATTCATTAAGGCATCCAATAACTAATATCAAAAGATTGAAAATTCTAGCCACAAGTTTATGAAATGTAAAGCACAAATTTTGCATCAAGGATTGGCAAACATATATCGAGATGAAACATGGCAACCCATTGCATTCTTGAAATCATCAAAACTAAACCATCGGACTTACAGTTTTCTATTCTGATTTTTGCAGTGTTTCTTTTGAGTTTCAGCATAATGTTTGTGGCAGCTCAATGTATGCTGAGGGTACTGTAGATGCTATAATTTTCCTCTCTCAAAAGGTGCTAAAGCTTCTCTGTTTTTCCGTGAATTTTAGTGATAGTTACTTTAGTTTTTTGCATATTGTCATAACAATTTATTAGGTTAAGGAGCTTGATGAGATATCACTTGTGGCGTTTAAAAAGTAAATTTCATTGCAATCTTCAACATCACAGTTTGTTGAATCAAGGTGATAGTATCTAAAACATAAACTTTGAAGGCTAATCAGATGTATATTGATAAATATCACTCTATTTTTAGTGTCATATGTGATTGTAGTTTCTCCATAGTCATCGTTCTATTATAATCAGACTCAGTGATATTCAACATGTTGTGTGAATGCAGGTTCAGTCAAAAGCAGAAAAGCGGATCTACAATATGATTGATGTCTTGCGGGAGGGCAACATGCGATGACAGTTGGGTTTTGTTTGTTTGCAGTGATGGTTTTGATTATTGAGCTTCTACTTTTGTGGGCAGAACAGACCGGCGGATCTGGTGGTCGATAATCGTTCGGACTTGGTAAAGGTTGTCACGGCACCTGTAGTAGGACAGAGAACTTGTCGCCTAGTCTAGTTTTTTTTTTTTTTTTTTTTTTCTTTTTTTCAAGTGTAGTAGTTTTTTTTCTATTAATTGCGATGCAAACAGGCCTGTACGTATGAGATTAGTTGAGGAGGCTTGCTTTAGTTGTCTGTTATAAGATAACTAGTTTTGGGGCTTTCGACGTAAAAAAGCCTATCCGGCTTGGCTTCGCTGTCGCTTTCCTACATAAGGGACGGTATCTTCAGATACATTAGTGCCGGTTCAGTTGATCCTTCTAAATTCTGAATACCATTTTGTGTGCGCCCTTTTTTTTCATTTAATTTTTTTTTTCTTTTCTATTAAACTCTGAAATCTATGAAATTGGGTTATTTTTGACAATTTTTATTATTTGTACTTGGCACTTAAAAATTCTGCCTTTTATTAGTTGTTAAATCAAGAATATTTGTTAAACTTTATTTGTCTTTTATGATTGTTTTCTATTCAACATTTCTTAATTGCAGGGATTTCTAGACTAAAATTCCTTAAAATTTTTAAGAGCTATTTGATTTTTTTTTTTTTTGAACGAAAAAAAAGAAAAAAAGAAAAAAGGATGTTGTGTATGTCATCATTGCATCTATAGGCCTTGGTTTTGGAGTAATTGGTTGTTAGTTAGGTTTAATCTAACTCATAAGGGATTCACTATGGAGACATTAATAAAGTTCAATTATATGTCATAAAAGTGTTTTTAATCAATCAGAATATAGTCTGAGATGAGTCAGCTGAAAATTCAGTCATTTTTATTATTATTTTTTAAAAACTATTTGATCAAAAAAAAAAAAAAAATCGGAAAAAGAGGAAAGGAAAGAAGACCAAATGGGTCTTTAGGCTGGACTAGTCTTCAAAAGATTAAAAGTACCGAGTCTAGAATTGCAGGCGGATGACGCAGGAGAAGGTGGGTACTAGTGTAGTAGGTAAGTTCTTCGATCAATATTCAAGTTTGGACCGTTAAAAAAATATATATTCAAGTTTGGAAAGTTGACTAAAAGAAAGCGCTTTGGTAGCATTTAGTAGAGTTTTGATTTGAGAATATAATTGTATTTTGAATTTGTGACTTTTGAAATTATGATCTAAGTGTGAAAAATTTGTTTGGTTATGACTTTTGAAAAGAGTTTTAAATTAAGTTCAAATTGAATGATATAACATATGATATTTGATTTAAAAACTCACAACGTATAACCAAATATATAACTCAAAAACTCACAACGTATAATCAGATATCAGCCGGCCAAATATCCGAGAGGATGACCAAGTAGACATTTTTAAAATGCAACCGTGCTGGGGACTTCCAGCTCCACGTGGAGGGCTGTGCTCTCAAGATTGAAAAAATAATAATAATAACAATAAAAATAAAAATAAAAATTTCAACCAATCAAAAAACAGTGGGGGTGGTGGGGGCCACCCCACTGGGGTCCAACGCATTTCTTTTTTAAAATGTGTATAGAATCAATTTTTAAAAACTCTATCCAAATACCACACTCAAACCAAACAGAGCCTTCATCTATTTTGTACGAACCTATAAATTGGGCTAAAAGGAATTATGGGCCTAAGTCAAAATTTGGCAAACTTTTCTACACAAAATCCAACTATTTTTTTCTTATTAGTGTGACAACTTTCTCAAACCAAAACGCACAATTAGATATTCTAAAACTACAAAAAAATCAAAAATAAATAAAAATAGATAAATAAAAATTATACAAATTTAAAAATTCAATAATTCTAAAAATTATAACTATAAAAGTTAAATTACACCAATAATAATAATTTATCTATTTAAAAAAAAAATAAAAGCATAATGTTCATCTAAATCAGTGAAAGAGTAATGGTTTTGGTTGATATAGAGCCGATCATACATAAATCAATTGGATAATAGTATGTAAAACTTGATTGTGTCAAAATGACAAGTCAATATATATATATACAGTTGTAGCCAGTTAAAATATGACTTTAATCATTAAAGTTGCATAAACATACTCATAAACAACACTGATTAAAAATATATATAAATATATAACAAATAATTTTTTAAAAATATTTTTTAATAGGTAAGAAATTGGAAGGTGAAAGAAAAAACTAAAATAAAGAATGCAGAGATGGGACTCAATCCCAAGATCTCCTCACATGCCAGGAGGTTGCAGCTTAATGCTCTAAATATAATAAAAGGAGCAAAGAGGGATTTTATTAGTACAATTGACCGGTCTACTGCGTGCGAATATTCGATAATTGCGTCCTAATCTAAGTTTTCTTATTTTTAATTCATTGAATATGATATGAGATTTGAATAGGTCAGTGTTGTTTGAAGATTTGGCCATAAAACAAATGCATGCAATAATAATATAATATAACATATATACAAATTTTTGAATGACAACACGTGGCTGAGGTGTCACCAAAGTGCCAGCCGAGGTGTCACGTGTCCTGATCATGACGTTGAAGTTATTTGCGAGAATACTAGAATTTGAGATAAGCGGATAAGGGACAATAGTCCTAGAATGGGAGAAGACTTCAGTTTGGGTAAAAATAAAACTCTTAGAGAGTTTATCCTAATCCTACTAGGAGTCCAAGATTAGCAATAATTTTAAGTCCATTAGAGCTAGGCTTCTATTGAGACTAGAATTGTGTTGGCTATAATAGAGAGGCACCCCCATGGGTCTAAGGTATGCTTTTTATTCTCTGAATAGTGACTTAAGCACTTTTCTATCTTTGAAAGATAACTGACTTGATCGTCGGAGTGCCCCCGGGTGGACGAACCACCGCCGGAATCTCTTCTTTTTGTGATATGTCATATGGGTTTAATCTATTCTACTAGTGTTCTCTAGTTGAGTGCTTGATTGACAGTGTGATCGGAAATTGACACACACAATTTGGCGCCGTCTATGAGAAAGAAAGGAGAATAGATGGCCAATGACGGATAGAAAGAGAAGGTTGGAGACGACACCTCTACTAAGAATGGGAAACATATTGACTCAGACGTTGAAGAAGTCAACTGCAACGAAGAGACTCGTGAGAAGAATCACGAAGGAAAGGACGTCGGCCAGGAGAGCGACGAACCAAAGAAAACGGACCGGAGCAGGTATTACAACGAGGACGACCTCCAGGTATGGAAGGATAGATGCATGCGGAGGGACAACGAGATAAAAGAAATGGCGAACAAATTAGCGGACCTGCAAACGGTCGTCAATTTCTTGATGCAGAACAACGTCGTGCAACTACTGTTCTCACTACAAGATGTGCAGATTCTAGCAGCCAAGAAAAACGCCCAGAAAATGGGGCAGAAAACGGTTCTTGCAGTCCCTCAGCATGGCGAGACCAAGGGACATTCTCACCGCCGTCGCTGGAGGTCGGCCATGGAGAATACCAGAAGACACGATCTCGGCCTAGATGATTAGGTCCAAGAAAAAAAAGCTCAGTCTAAAATAAGCAGATCCCAGATTCCAGAAGGCAAGATCTCGGCCTAGATGATTAAATCCGAGAAGAGAAAAGCACAGCCTGAGTTAAAGAATTTTTTCCACAAAGGAGTAGGTGGAAGCCATATAGAGGGCTGGAGAATGATGCTTGGGAGTTAGAATTTTCAAGCCCAGATCGATTTAACACTTGTTGAAACTTGAGAAAAGTTTACAAATTGAAGTTAAACTGAGATTATGTTTAACACTTGTTGAAACTTGAGAAAAGTTTACAAGTTGAAGTTAAACCGAGATTATGTTTAACACTTGTTGAAACTTGAAAAAAAGTTTACAAGTTGAAGTTAAACCGAGATTATATTTAACACTTGTTGAAACTTGAGAAAAGTTTACAAGTTGAAGTTAAAACCGAGATGATGTTTAACACTTGTTGAAATTCTGAGAGAATTTACAAGTTGAAGTTAAACCGAGATCATGTTTAACACTTGTTGAAATTCTGAGAGAATTTACAAGTTGAAATTAAACCGAGATCATGTTTAACACTTGTTGAAATTCTGAGAGAATTTACAAGTTGAAGTTAAATCCAAGATTATAGAAGTATCTATACACGTGCCAAGGTGACTATGTTACCAAGACTTGGAAGATAATGGAAGACAGAAGTCTTAAGAAGTAAAAGTAACACTTGTGAAAATATTTGTTACAATGTTTTCAAGTGTTAAACCGAGACCGAGATAAGCAAGGTTGGAAGTTTTGTCTGAGGTATGTTAACCTGAGAAGATTGCACAGTTAAGGTGTATGTTGAAGACATGCAAATTGTATTCTAAGTATGGAATCATACAAGGCATTAAGAAGAGGGTAAACATTCAAAACACTTGAAAGAAGAAGTTAAAAAATGTATTCAGATAAGGAAAGAAGGCACTTCGGCTTAACATTGAAGAATAAATTGTTTGAGTAACAAAAAAGTACAAGGTACAAAGACAGTACATGTTCAATACATGGTGCAATTCAAGATACAGGTTAAATGATCAAAAGACATGGACGAGTGAAGCAATGAAGCCGAAGTGAAGTTCGTCGGGATCAGACGGTGGCCGTAAGCAAGGAAGTGCAACAGAAGCCTCGCCAGAGGGAAGGGTGAAACTGGTTGCAAAAAGTTTCGCAAAAGCAGCAACAGAGGATTTGAAAGAGAAAGTTGAAACAAAAACAAAGATACAGAAGTAAAAAGACGGAGAGAGAGTTGATTTTGATCAAAAACATGAAAAATGGCAATTATGGTGCCTTGGACAACGTGCTTGTCAGACGGCGCGTACAAAAATGATGCAACTTGATGGCGCGTATCAGATCTGGTCCAGTAAGGGAAAGACACATGGTGAAAACAGTTGAAATACTGTGCGTACCAGCTCATACGCATGCTGGAACTCTTGGAGTTCTTGATTCAATAAAGCAAATACCTCGACTAGGAGGACGATTTCGGTTGAGAAACTTGAACGAACTTGGTCGTTGGTTCTAAAGCATTTATGAAAACAGACTATAGGTCTTGGTCATATTGAGTCGACGAGTTCTGACTTCGGCAATAGATGATGAAGCAAGCTTAGCCGACGTGCTAAATGGAAGAAATGATATAGGTTCCATCACCTCAGGATGCCGAGGTAATAGAACCTAGGGGGCAGTTGTGGGGACATAATTTTTGAATGACAACACGTGGCCGAGGTATCACCGAAGTGCCAGCCGAGGTGCCACATGTCCTGGTCATGACGCCAAGGTAATCTCGGCTAGGCCGAGGTTATCTGCGAGAATACCGAAATCCGAGATAAGCGGATAAGGGACAAGAGTCCTAGAATGGGAGAAAACTTCAGTTTGGATAAAGATAAGACTCTTAGAGAGTTTATCCTAATTCTACTGGGAGTCCAAGATTAGCAGTAATTCTAAGTCCATTAGAGCTAG